AAAAAAAAAAAAGAAAAGAAAAAGAAACTCTTCCTTCTCCCTGTAGGGAAAGCCAGAAGTTGTGCTCCAAATTCATTCATATCCAGCAGCCAAGATAGTGTCCTCCTATGCTTTAACACCTGTGAACGATTTCAATTTTCCTATTTTTTACTTTTAAACTCTAAAACTTTGGTGCTTTCCTAAGGACCTGAAGATGCTGCTGCCAGTTACTAGTAGGGTTTTCCAACCCCATAAATTGGCCTATTAAAACCATCCTTGGGGAACCATTACTGCTCAGTGTCTCTCTTTATGCTGGCGCTTGGAAAGTTCTTATGCTGATTAACTGACCTTTACAGTGGCTTAGCTGAGAACAGCAACTATAAGAGATGGAAACTGTTGAGGAAAGTGTTGTTAGTCCCACAGTTTATGTTGCCACAAAAGAGATGAGATGATTTTTTGCATATGTGCAGAAGGTATACTATTCATCCTTTTCCGTTGTAAAAATGTTCTTTCCAATTCAGTGTTGGTCTTGCTTGGTTCTTCTTTGTGCCTGTGCTTTTTGTTTGAGGACCATGTGTGCCCTGTATCTTGGAGCCAGTCGCTGTGAAATCTGGGCTGAAGACACATACCTATAACAAACGAGGATGCTGACGGTCATTACCGCGGTCATTCCTGAGATGAGAGACCTCAGTATGAGAGCATGTGTTATTCACACAGTTTCTTCATGACAAGTTCTACATTTCTAGCAATTTTTTGGCTATGCAGTTTTGTACAAATGGAAAAATGGCTGGGAAGGAGCTGTCTTTAAAATGCAAATCTGATCTCGTCACCTCCCTGCACAGTCTGGTCCCCACTCACCTAACTTCCCTACCTACTTCTTCAACCATCTCCTTTTAGTTAAAGGGCTTTGTTTGTACCATCTCCTTTGCCTAGAATGTTCTCCCCATCCCTCTTCCCTGGTTACTAATTTTCTAACCATCTTGGCGATCTCCGTTCAAGCTTCCTTTTGTCACAGAATCTGTCTGGACCTTCATGACTAACTCCTAGGTCTTATCTCTTGTAAACTCTTACCAAATCGTATATTTTTCTCTTGCTAGTTGTAGTTTCATCTGTGTGATTACTTTATCATCTTTCACTAGACTGCAAGCTCCACAAGGACAGAGACCATGACCGTTTTGGCCATTTGCCCATTGTGTTCCCCATCCAGTTCATTGCTGGTACAGGGCAGGTACTCAGTAAATGTTGAAGGAAGGAATGAAGGTCCCACATTCCACACTGGGATGAAACAGCATTCTGCTTTTCAAAAAATCAGTATACGAAAAAACATTTCAAGCAAAAGAGGGAGGAGCCCTGAGCATGTTGCCTCTCCTCGCTGTCCAGTAGAAGATGAAGCATCCTATTCCCAAAGTCAAAGAGCTCCACAAGGGCAGGGTCCTTATTTTTTCCTTCAAAGACAAAAATGTTGATTTTGTTTGGTTTGGGGCTTTCAGTGGGTTTATTTAAGCAACTGACGTATAAAAAGCAACTGAAGAAGTATAACCTCATCCAAGGCAGCTAAAGCTTACTAGAAAAACTCAGGCTCTGGGGCCAAATGAGAGATTGAACCACTCCCTAGCTGTGTGACCTTAGGCAAGTTACTCAGCCTCTGTTGGCCTCAATTTCCTGATACTACCCACTTCATAAGTTGCTTTCAAGTTAAGATTAAGGAATACATGTAAGGCATTTAGAACAGTTCCTGGCACATAAGCAGGTGCTCAGTCCACATTAGCTATATTATTCACCCCAGGTTGAATAACCGATGTTTTGTTAAGCAAACCGTTATGCGCCAAGCCCTGTGCTCATATTGGGAATGTGGGAGGTAGGTGAAGAGACAGAGCTCCTCGCCGTAGGGAGAGCACAATTCATTCTTTGGTTCACTCTCTGGAGAAAGGGAGTGGGAGGGATATTTACTGCCCACTCCTCAAGACTTGGCCTGAACAACGTAATATGTGTAAAGTGCTTGAAGATGCTTGGAAGCAAGGCAGAGAATAATCTTCATCATAGAAAGTGTTGAGAATTTTTCATATTTGAACTTTATCCACTGCATTCTCTCCGGTTGCTTTTTCTGTTCTTCATGAGTCTGGAGCAACCCACGTTGCCGGTGAACTTCACTCTTCCAAAGTAGTTCTAAGTGAATGCAGAGTGCCGTTTAGATGGTCTTTCATGACCAGTAATAATGGCTTGCAGAGTAACATTGATATTAAGAGCTCAGAGAAGTTAAGTAACTTACTCAAGGTCACACGGTTAATTAATAAGCCCAGTATAAGAGCTGTGCTTTAGACCCAGATCTGCCTGCCTCTTAACCGTGTCTACCTCACAGGTCTTTGAGAGTCCTCCAGGTAATCCACGATTAGGCTCCTTGTATAGGGAAGGCTGGAAGGGCACCAGGCAGCATTTGCACACTGCTGTTCTTTGCTATCTCTTTGAATGAGAGAAGACAGGTTTCAGGAGCCCTTGTGTTGACTCAAGGCCTCTGTGGGAGGGGATGGGAGGTGGGTAGGCTAATAAAGACTTAGGGTTGAAGGAGACATTAGAGAACATCTTCAACTCCTCCTAGGGCCCCTGTGTCCATGTCCTGGTCCTCCATAGTGAAGACCAAACCCAAGAGAGCCAGGGACAAACCCTAGGCTCCAGGATCTTCCTTTCCTACCAGTAGGTTCCTGGAGGAACTTACCTTGGGACTCCCCATCTCACGTACCCTCCTGCTCCGCCATTTCTTCCTTGCTAAAGGTGCATGAGCCCACTTCTTGTCTTCCTTAACCACCCACCCACTTTCCTTCCTCCTGTGGCAGAGAACAACAGTTTCCATCACCAAGACCATCCCAGGCAGCCTGCAAACTCTGTCAGGGGGCAGGGGAAGGAGAATAGCGGTTAAGATCTACCGGGTAGAAAGTGTTTGAGGCACACTGGATTAAATGATGCTTCTAGAGTTCGGCTCTCCCTGGGAAGGTGGAGGCAGAGCAGGGAAAAAGAGCGGGTCCTGTTTAGACCAGGCTTCCTGTGCCGGGGGATGGAAAGGCCAAGGGAAAAGCTGACACCAGTAGGTCATGAAGATACCACTTGTTTAGATTTCAAATAAGTTCCGTTCCACGCCGCACTTAGGACCAGTTGGCTGCCTTGTGTTCAGAGCCTGGACCTCATCTGGCGAATTTTCCCGAGGCAGAAGTGTCACTGGATTCTTTCATGTGCTGGAGTTGTAGGCAGCACAGCCCCTTTTAGAAACTATGTGGACACTTTGAACTGTGGTCTTGCGAGCCAGTGCCAGAAGAATGGCATTTCGGGGCCTGGTAAACTTGGGAGAAACTTTTTGATGTCCTTATGAAAGCAGCATTTTGCTCTGAAGTCAGGGAGGGTGTGTTCTAGCAAAAGAAGCGAGCCCAGATCTGCCTTCTCCACGTGCACCAGGCCTCCGAGGAGACCTCCGACTGGACACCGCCCCCCCTGCCCCCCGCCTCCATCGTGCTTATGGTGGATGTGGGAAGAGGCAGAGGTGGGAAGAACTCTGTTGGTGATGTTGTGAAACCCTCACTGTCAGAGCTATCCAGTGCCTTTCCCATGTTTCCTTCTTCCCAAACCCCTTTACACAAGGCCATAAGGCTCTTAAAGACCAGGAAATGCCCGAGCCTCTGGTGGCAGAGACCTGCACTGAGCCCGGTATCTGATCTTTAGCTGTGCCTCTCCCTCGTCCTGTCCCTGTGACGTCAGGCGCCTGAACGGTCTCTACCCAGCCTTAGCCCTGTGGCCGGTTGCCGGAGTGCCTTGTTTATACCCTTGGCCAAGTAGACAGTGTAGTGTAGAGCAAGGCCAGGAGAGGAGGAACTGACCGTGTGACTTAAGTTTCCACTGGCAGGCATCCGCCCGGATGTATGCTGTGGGCAGGGTCAGCCTGAGTAGCAGCAAATACAATACTGTGGTTTTAGTTTCTCTGCTGAGCAGGGTTTTTTTGGTTTTGGATTTTTTTTTTCCTTCTTAACCCCGAGCTTCTTGAGGATGGGGACAATGTCTTATTCATCTTTGTATCCCACATACCCAACACAGTGCTTGGCACAAAGACAGTGTGTCCAGTAAATGGATGTGTTACTTGTTTAGAATAAACGTTGAAAGCCAGACAGAGCACCTGAGACTTAGAGGTCTCAGCATATGTGTGGTGGGGTCCACAGTACATGTGGGGCTGAAGGTCAGGTTGGCTGGTGGGGTCTCTCATATCTTAAATGTGAAATGTCAAAAAACCGTCTTTACCTCCATCCCCATCCACCAGGGCTGTGAATAGAATTTGGCACACCGCGGAGTGGTTACTCAGCAGTGCCCTTTCTGGAACTGTCCCTGACAAGGCACAGTGTGAATCCTAGGTCCAGTCAAGATCATTAAGAGATCATTTGATAAGCAAAAAATTATCTAGCACATTGAAATTGGATGAGGTCAGCTGGGCAGGTAACCCCGTTTCTTAAGAGTGAAGAATTTTAGTGGCAAGTTAACTTGGCCCTCTTTGGAATCACCCTGTAATTAACCTCGAACAGTGTGTGTTTTGAAGGACAGAATGACTGACTCAATGCTAATCCTAGAATATGTACTGCATTAATTGGTTCCAGGAACTTTCACAGAAAAGCCGGTTTTATTTAAAAAGGACTGCTAATTACACGAGAACCATCATCTTTTTACCGGCTGCATGTAACACCGGAACATGAAGTGTTTCTGCTTGGACATAAAGAAAGGGGCATCCGTTTCCTTTCTGAGGAAAACTTCGCTCTTTACCAGTCGGCTTTGTGTGCCGAATCCTCTTCACCCTTTCATAAACCTTTGTTTTTTTCTTCAGTCTGCTGCTGTTGTGGGTTCTAATTTTTTTTTTTTCTTCACGGAATGAACACTGATACAGACCGTCTTGGTGGAGGGTGGGCAGACAACCAGGAAGAAGGGGGTGAAAAGAAAAGTGGCATTTAAAAGCTGTAATGTCATATGCTAAATTTTTTTTCCCCCTTTTTTAGGATAAGGAAACCTGTGTGGGTACCAACAATCAAAGCTACATTTGTGACACAGGACACTGCTGTGGACAGTCTCAGTGCTGCAACTACTACTATGAACTCTGGTGTAAGTCCTTGCCCCCCGGGGGTCGCTGGCACCCCAGGGTCCTCCTGGTTACTGTCTCCGCTCGTTGGGAAACAGTTGGCTGGGCACCTTTTCTCATTCTCCCAGGGGCAGTGTTGTGAGTAGAATCTGTTGTTGGGTTCCAGAAGCACGTCCTCTGTAGAGGAGGAGTGCTCTGGTGCTCTTCAGACACCAGGGGCTGACGACTAGAGACTATGGTCTGAGCCTTCTGAAGAGGCCGTGGTTACCAGGTCTGCTGAGGAAGCTCCTGCCTGGGCTTCTCTCTGATGCCCCCTCTAGTGTGTGCTGAGCAGTGACAACAACTCACATCCTTCTGTGGGCCTGCCGGACACCCAGGCTTTGCTGTCTTTGCAAAGAGAGGTTACAGCAGCCAACCCGCTGTGAACGCCAGGCTAGGCTTTGCGGATAGCTGTAAGGCCATTTTCTTGTGAAAACCTTAACAGCTTCCAGAATTCCCCATAGAGCATCAAGGAGCTGCCTCTGTGTCTGGTCCCTGTCAAAGGGATCGCCTTCCCCTAGGTCCTTGCTCATGGAGCCCTCCCAGAGCGAGGGAGTCTAGAGGTTTAGCCCCCTCCGTTTCTTTCCCAGTTCTCAAGCTGAAATGTCTGGAGGCTTGCTTCTCTGGTGCATCTCCCCTGTTAACTCTCAGCTAATTGCTGCATGGAAATAGGCCTCATCTCGCCACTGGTTTGGTTGAGGCCATGAACTTGCACCTTTGGACTTGCACAAGGGTGGTGACATTGGCACAATCTTCAGGGACCTGGCCAGGTTCAAGGGTTTCACTAACATGCTCTGCACTTCAGTCCTCTCAAAGCTCGGATGAGACACCACAGGACGCTGCTGGACAGACTGGGAGGACCGGAGAGTCCTTAGGGCAGAGAGTGCCCCGGTGACCAGCAGCACGCTGGGTCACAGCTGTCTGTAGAGAGGAGAAATGGTAGCCTGCTTCCCCAGATAGTTCTAAGCCCCCATCACCCCCTCCATTTGGAGACAAACTGGGCTGGTTTGCCAAAGTGGGCCTTCCCTGCCCCCGTCACCCTTGTCCTTTCTCCCCTTCTCTGATCTCCCCACTCCTCCCGCGTTGGTGATGTGGTCAGAAGGCAGCTAGAAGGCTATTGTTTGGTATGGAAAGGAACCTAGACTCTTGGCTGGGCAGTCTCTCCCTCTAAATGTAAATGTATCTTGTAGCCAGTGGGAGTGGCTCCTCCAAACAGGACCTCTCCTCACTCTTATCCTTACCTTTCGAGGACTGAGGACTGGCTCGTCTGCCGTTCTGAGGAATCCCAGGGGCAGCCAAGTGCACAGTCCCTTCATAAGGAGAGAACAGGGCTTGGGGTGTCCACACCAGTCCTCTGCGAATATAAGCAATAGCAAAGGAGGACCCAGGGTTGTTGCTATTTTAGAAGGGGTGGGGCGGAGGGACTTACTAGAGAACACAAAGTGCCAAGCAGGTGAACAGACTGTGTTTAAATGTTTTAAAATGCAGATAACAGCAGGGCTCCAATTCTCTGTCCCACCCCTTGTTAATACAAAAGTCGAAGCTGGGCTGCCAGAAAGCCACAGAGCTGCGGTTGGTTTTTCCGGGGCCCGGCCCAGGCAGCATCGGTTGTGGAGAGACATGGGGTTGCGCATGGTCTCGTCTCAGATTGACAGAGCCTCCTGGGCTTTTGGCAGAGCAGGCCCAGTAGCCACCAGAATTGGGTCACCGTCACCGGGGCGGGGGGTAGGGGGTGGGGCAGCGGGGACAGGGAGACCCAGATGGCAGGGAGGCAGCCTGGGAACCAGGCACTTCACCCCAAGGGCTTAAAGAAAGCCAGAGGAGGAGCTGCTGAGTGGCTAATTATCTCTCCAGTTACGGTCAGTGGAGAAAAGGAGGAGGCCAGAGACCAGAGTCTGGATGGGGGCGAAAGACTCGCCATCCTATGAGCTGACCCATGCTTTCCAAGTTCTGGAGGGATGGAGATTGTCAAAGCAAAACTGTCCTCATTGGTGCCCAGAAATGGCTTCTTGGTCAGGAGATGCCCAGCGAGTGTGCCACCCCCTCAGAATTCTGGCGTTTTCCTCCTCATCAGGGTCCTGGCCTCTGCCTGATGTGTGGATGGGAGGGAAGATGAGTGTTTGGATGAGCCCCTTCAGTTCTTAATCAAAGCTGCATTTTTGGTCACTTTGAACCCTGTTCCCTCTAATTGTCTCTAAACTTTGCCTGACATGTGAAAATAATGGGCTTTGTGCTATTCTTTTTGTCTTTCCTTTGGAAGGAAAGAAGTTTCAGCCAGAAAATCCTTGGCAGAGTTTCTCTCAGACACAGTACCTCTTTAACCACAGTTGCCTACAGAGAAGGCCTCAGGGGAAAAAAGCAAAAAATGCCATTTCCACCAACCTGTTCACGTCTATGGAGCTGAGTCTTCCTGTGGGCTGAAGACTGTTTTCTCTCTCTCTCTCACAAACACACACACACGCACACACACACACACCACTTACACAGACTCCTTTTCCCCATGTCTTTTCAGTCATAACTAATGCAGTAGTCATTACTGGGCCTGCGTCAGACGAGAAGCAAAGGTCCTGTTTTACCACTGAGGCTGTCAGAGCTGCTCATCATCATTACTATTATCCCATGCGTTTTTATGGCCCTTGTACTTTGATTCATTATTCAATCATTTATTCATTCAGTAAACCCTTAATCCAGTGGTTCTCAAAATTTGGCAAGCCTCCGAATTTCTGGAGGGCTTATTAAAACACAGATCTCTGAACCCTACTCCCAGTTTTTTATTCAATAGGTATGAGGTCGACCTGAGAATTTGCAGTTGTGACAAACTCCTACTTGAGGCTGAGACTCTTCTGTGTTAGTAACTGTAGGGAGACATAATCCTTGCCGTCAACAGGGAATCTCCTAGCAGAGAGAGGAGATAAGACAAGATGCCCCACTGGTGAGACAAAGTAGAGAGTGGAATGTATGTGCCAGAACTTTGGCTAGGCAGGGTTCAGGCAGGCTACATGGAAGAGGTGGCATTTGGAGTGGGCCCTGAAGGGTGGATAGGATTTAAACACAGGAAGAAGGATAAAATGGTTTCTCAGGCAGGGGAATGCCATAGGCCAGGGCCCCATGGGAAAGAACAGAGTATGCATGCTATTGTTGACCTTTCCCCAGGGTCTGTGGGGCTTGTCTGGGAAGGAATGGGAGATGAGGGTGCTAATGTGCTTGGAACTGTGCTACATGTGAGACACTGGGGAAGATCTTCATGCACATAGTCTCCTTTCTCCCCAAGAACAAACCTGCGAGGTATCTATATCACCCCCATGTGTCAGGACCCAGGGTGTGAAGGAACTGTTCAGCTGGATGCAGCTGACTGGTAGGGTCAGTGTGCCTCACTCCAAAGCAACCCCCTCCAGAACTCTGTGTGCTGGACTGGAGGGGTGATGGGCCCCGGTTGTGGAGGGTCTCTGTTGTGCATGTTTGATTTCCATCTGAGGATGCCCTTCATGGAACAGGCAGAGCAAAGAAGAAAACCAAAATTGAGAGAGGCTACCAATATGCTCAAGGCCAAAGATCCTGAACCTGGATCTCCCGATTCTCATCCCAGGACTCTTTCCATTCACCATGCTACATTGTCCAGGGAGAGGTCGGAGCTGGGAATTTCTGCTCCTGAGATAATTTGAGGGACCTTCACTTGGGCATCAGTTTTTCCTTGTTTGGGCTTTAGTTGGGGAGAAGGGAGTGTTTCTGGGCAGTGGAATTCCCCTGAAGTGACACGAAACAGACTATGACCAAATTCATTTAAGGCTGCCCAGCTTGTTTCTTACCTGCTAACTTTTTCTTTTTAGTTTATCTTAAGATGTCCATTGTTGAACTGCTCATAATGGAAGCTTGGAGTATTTGCCACCCTTAGCAGAGTAGAGAGTGGGAAGCTGGGGCCTTCTTCTAAGCCGAGATTGGACCCCTGCTCCTAGAGATCCAGGCTTCTGGACAAAGACTGGTTGATCAGTAGCACTCGGGCTGGTTTTCCAATGAATTTAGCCAAGAACAGAACCTAGAAACAGACTTTGGACTTGTTCCTCACCCTTGCTTTTTTATGGAGTATTTTTGGGGGGAATTAAAAGAGAAATGGAAAGAAAACCCTTCCCATCTGTTGTCACACCTGTAACAACGATAGTAATAACAGTCTAGAGAACTTATTATATGCCAGGTGTGGTTCTGAGTATTAACTCGTTTAGTCCTCACAACGACTAGTAAGGTAGGTCATTATTCTCCCCGTTTTACAGATGAGGGCAAAATGACCAAGATCACAAAGCTAGGCAGTGGTTTTGTGAGCTGTGATTTAAACCCAGGTCGCTGCCTCTTCTCTTTGGTAACTACAGTTGTGCTTCTACGAAACTTGTCCAGTCTTTGAGATGAACTTGTAAGCCTTCCGAGGTCTTCTTTGCCCAAATTCAGGCCTTTTCCATAGTGGCTGTGGTAGGAGCTCCTGCTGAGAGCTACAAGTGGCCAGGGAGGTCACCCGCCCTCCTGTGGGGTAGAAGGAGAGCTAATTTACAGTGTGCTTTGGCTTCCTAATGAGGAATTTCCTGCCCATTTGGGGAGTGGTATTTTCCCAAGTTTATAGTGAACTCGGGGCACATGACTCAGTTCCTACGTTGGACTGTGATTGTTTTTCAAAACATGTTTTCTGTTTTGCTTAGCATGACAAATGCTCCCCACCATGAGGTCACAATTTTCAAAGTTGTCATTGGGGAATGTAATCTCTGGGTAGGTGTGTGTTTGGGGAGGAGGGCATGCTTTTGTGTGTCTCTTTCATTAGGTTTTTCTTTTTTAAACTTAGTTCCTTGTTTGTGAGATCTAGTGAAAAGATCAAAAGTTTGTACAAGTCCATAGGGACTAGTCTGGATATTCTTCCTTTTAAACTTGGTGGGACATTAGTTTGACTAAAATGGCTCCCAAGAGAGTCCATTTTGTGAGGGCCAGACAGGAATGCCTTCTGCCTTCCCACATTAACTCCATCAAGTGGGACCAGCTCATTAAGGGTCTTTTCTGGGCCTGTGCTACCACTTCATCTTGCCACTAGAACCATTCTGCTTCCAAGTTAGTTTTCCCTCAGTTTTGATCCACACAATCTTTTGTCATATGGTATTAGAAATGAAGAAATTACGGGACACCTGGGTGGCTCAGTGGGTTAATAAGCATCTGCCTTCGGCTCAGGTCATGATCTCAGGGTCCTGGGATCAAGTCCCACATCAGGCTCCTTGCTCAGTGGCACTCTTTCTCTCTGACAAATAAATAAATAAAATCTTAAAAAAAAAAAAAAGAAATGAAGAAATTAAGGGCACCTGACTGGCTCAGTTGGAAGAGCATGCGACCCTTGATCGAAGGGTCGTGAGTTTGAGCCCCACTTTGGGTGTAGAGATTAGATTATTTAAATAAATAAATAAATGAAAACTTAAAAAAAAAAAAAGAAATGAAGAAATTAGAACTCAGTTTGAGACCTAGATAAATATAACATTATACAACTGGTACATAGTAGGGAGAGTTTTTCTACCCATAGTACTACGTTAAAAGAAGTAGGGTGGTGGAATTTTGATGAACATGTGAGTTGTTTGGTGCTCTCTTAGATATGACTAAGGCAGTTTTGGCAAGGGTGTGTGTTCCAGTTGATTCATTTCTTCCCCCAATCTCCTTCTGCCCTGCCTAATTTTTCCTTTAAAATTAAAAAAAAAAAACAAAAACCAAAAAACTCTCTTTTTCTATTATGCTTCCAGTTCAGTGAATCGCAGCCTTTTTTTCTGGATCAAGGATTCCCTTAAGAATCTGACGGACACTTGAATCCTTTTCCCCAGAAAAGCCTATAAAGATGCTGCGTCAGTCAGGATAGGCTATAGGTCATGCTTAGTAACAAAAAAGTCCAACCTAGTGGCCTACAACAACATGTTTACTTCTCACACTCTATGTCCATCGCGGGTTGGTTGGGAGCTTCGTTCCCACTTCTTCGTCCTGAGGCCAGACTGATTCTGAAGTCACTGTCTGGAATGTTACTGTCACGGCGGCGGGAGGACTAGAGGAAGGAAGGTCTTACGTATAACAAGAGATGTCCTGACCTCTAAGTGACAGAAGTCACTTCCAACCCTTGTTCATTAGTTAAAACCAGTCCCAAAGCCTTGCCCCATCATAAGGGGGCCATGAAGTTCCAAGCCTACCCAAATGCCCAGAAGGGGAAAACCAGAAATATGTGGCCAACATGAAAACCAGTACCTGAGATTTTTCTTATTGAAAGCGTGTGTTAAAAAAATAAAGTCCTGCCTGGCTGTCTCAGTCAGGAGAGCAGTGGGACTCTCGATCCCCGGGTTGTGAGTTTGAGCCCCACGTTGGGGGTAGAATTTACTTAAAAACAAGAAGAAAAACAAACAAACGACAACAACAACGAAACATTAAAAAAAGAAAATAAAATCATGTTATAAAATAAGAAATATTGCCCCTGGATCATTTATACTGCAGCATGAAAGGTTAAAAGTTGGTTTACCTTTAGGTAAGAAACTACTGAAAAAATGACTTGGGAGGTGAAAACTAGTCAAGTCAGATGCAATTATCTCATGCGAGAATGTGCTTTTAGAATTAGAACACAACACAGAAGTACAAAGGATTGTGAGATTATGCTGGGCAAGTGAGAGAAAGGCAGTAATGTGGAAGAGTGGCTAGTCCAGAACCGCTTAGACAGGTCTCTCAAATACGTCTGGAGCCGGGCCCCTGAGCAGAATGCAGTGTGCTTATCTGTGCTGCCTCCCTCGCCAACGCAGGACCCCCCCCAGGAGGCTGGCACTGAGGCTTTTACAGGACAGCATCAGGGAGCCACTTCGCTCCCAGAGCTCCCTTCTGGCCTCGCACCACTTCTGAAGGCTCCTGTGACAGTATTTATCTGGTCTTCAGTCAGCCAGCAGCCGTAGGGGAGAAATGTAAGTGGAATTCAGCAAAGGTCCGCAGTGACTCTGGGAAGGACCACAAGGGAGACCTCTGACTTCAACTTATGTGTATGTTCTTTGGGCAGATCTTACTATTTATTTTTTTCAAGATTTTATCTTTAAGTCGCCTCTGCACCCTCCGTGGGTCTCAAAACCCACAACCCTGAGATCTAGCGTCTGCCAAGGGGATAAAGGGACAAAATGCTCAGCCCACTGTCCTCCGCCTCTTCTCTTGTTGCCAGGCCTCAGCAGAAGGTTCCACTGCACACTGACACGGGCTGAAAGCCGTTAGGAGCCATCCAGTGGTGTTGCCAGCCCCCCAGGGCCAGGCGGCTGTCCCATCTCACTCTGGAGAGGTGGCTTTGTGGGGAGATGCAGCAGGGTCACCCCTGGGGGACAGAAAGGGCCTTTGCCTGAGGCCACACCCTAAATGTCAGTACGATCTTTTAGAATATGATATCCTGGCATGAATAGAAAAAAAAAATCAGAGGTTTATTCATATACAGGTCTGTGTGGGGGAAAGGTTGTTTTGTTTTGTTTTGTTTTAAGTAGGTTTTACACCCAGTGTGGGGCTTGAACTCATAGCCCCAAGATCAAGAGTCACATGCTCTACCAACTGAGCCAGCCAGGCGCCCTGGGGCTTTTTTTTTTTTTTTTAAACTATCTTAACTCATTCTGACAAGAGACATGTGGAAATACTTAAATTCTAAACACAAATTTATAATTGCAAAGTAGGTAATAAGAAATACATGTAGCATTGGTAATGGAAAAAAATTGAAGTTATTCAGGAATAGAGAACAAATGAAAAATCATCTTTTCTCACTTAATAACAACTCACCTTAAAATTATTCCTCAGATAAGTTTTTCGTTGAGACAAAAGTATTCTTTTTTTTTTTTAAAGCAGAATTGCTCATTGATTAAAAAAAATTGTAAAGGATTTTCTGCTTACAACTGAAGATTGGAGAGGGGGTCTTCTGTTGGGGTTTGTCAAGATTCTCTGAGTATGATCCAAGAACATAGTGGGAAATGAGAAGAATAATGAGAAGAGAGGGCTATAGGCCTTCTCCCCTGTTCCCTTACCTACCCCTCCCTGGAGCAAGAAGGAAGAAGGGAAGGCTGCTAATGGTTCTGAGTCTAATAAAATCACAGGCCAAAGGGAGGTGGGAGTGTTATTTGCAACTGTAGGAGATGGAATTGTACCAGATTATATCAAGAGCGGAGGAAGTCATTTACACTCTGTAGGGAAGAGATGGACCTGAGGCAATTAGAATTTTCCCCCCTGTAACTTTAGTGACTCTTGCAGTATACCAGTGTACATGATAGAGAAGCGCCCATGGTCTTTTTGGTGATATCAAGAGAACCCTAAGAATTCCTTTATCAGGCGGCCCCTTGCATTTGCTGATATGCTGGGATTTTGAGGGGCCCTTTGCTTTTGGTGAGCAGCCTGGTGTAGCAGCAGGAAGTGAGGCTGGGAACCGGCCTTAAGGCCTTGAGCAGGGCTTGGGGGTGGGGGTGGGAGATGGGTAACAAGAAAGCCGGAAGCATTTTTCTCAGAGATCCCTTAAGAGAGGACGAGGACACTGTCCTAAAAGGTGAGCATATTTAATGCCCGCCAAACCCGAAGCATAGCACGAGTGGTGCTGGAGGGGGGCCTCCTGCCCTCTCCCATCCCATCTTTCACTCTGGCACAAACGCTGACAGTAACTGAACACAGGTTCCAAATGTGAATTCACCAGTTGAGGCCTGACAGTGCTAGCTTCAACCAGGTGGGCGCTGTCTGGGGACCCCCTGTTGGGAAAGCCGCCCCCCCCCCACCCCAGCTGGTGTTCACCATGCATGTGTGCCTCTCTGCCTTGCCTCCCTGCCCGCAGGGTTCTGGCTGGTGTGGACCATCATCATCATCCTGAGCTGCTGCTGTGTGTGCCACCACCGCCGAGCCAAGCATCGCCTTCAGGCCCAGCAGCGGCAGCATGAAATCAACCTGATAGCCTACCGAGAAGCCCACAATTACTCAGCGCTGCCATTTTATTTCAGTACGTACATTCTAAGCCACCAGACCCCACCCTCGGGAGCCCAGGACCCAGACTATGGGCCCCTGGGGGCCCCCTTGCCCAGCATAGTGCAGAATCTCACAGGTATGGGGATAAGGGGGCACTCACCTTTAGCAGAGAGGAGCAGGTGCTGTGGATGCAGCGCCCTAGAGCCACTGGGCCATTCCAGACCCACACTGACTGGGTTCTGACCGGGTGTGTGATCCTTTAGCAGATGATTTTCTTAAGGCAGGTAGTCACAGGGTGTATGATGTGCGTGAATCAGGATTTAGATGGCTGTGGCCTGAAATCCTCCCATTTTGCTTAGTGCCCTCACGAAAGGGGCACGTGGGAGGGCACGTGGTGGGGGGTAATACTGGGACCTTCTGAGAACCAAGAAACTTCACTGAAGGACATTCACCTGACTTCCCTGGGGGATCCTTACACATGACCCTCAAAGGGTCCCTGGAGACCCAGCTTGTCCAAAGCCATTCTACAGTATGTTCTACAGAATAAAGTGCTCACAGGTCTGGAATTCCCCATCTAGAAGGGTTAAGTGTTTAGCACAGTGCCTGGCATATAGTAAGTGCTCAATAAATGCTAGGAGTTATTGTTAAAACCAGACCACCTATGCCTTGAGATGTTCAGCACATTCAAAATCTAACTTACCTGGCACGTTGATGATAATACTTGGTCGGCAGGCCCTTCACCCTTCGCTGGTAACCCACCCACTCCTGATCTGAGTCAGGAGGAGGTTCGGTTTGTCTTTCCAGACCACCTCCGGCCCCTCAGATTTCTAACCTCCCAGGAAAAGGCCCTTTTCATGGTCCATACATCTGGAAGGGGGGGGGTGGCAAGAAAAACGCGGTCAGGAAGTCTTAAATTAGGGTCCCTGACCCTGAGGCCTATGGGATGTAGACAGAGGACACAGTCTGAGCAAGAAACATGAGACTCGGGGGCATGTGGAAACAGATACGCTCTGGGCAGAAATGATCTCTTGGCCATCCCCCACATTTGCCTAACCCTCTGCCTTAACTCCAGACTGGCAGGGGTCCTGCCTGTGAAGCAGGTTCAGGGGCTCTCAGACGTCAAGAAGCCAGATTAGGTCACTCCCAGTCTGTCCCTCTTTTCCTCTGCAAAATTGCCGCGCCCCTCTGCCCTGCCCACAATCAAGAGCTGTAGCCGGCCCTTGGTGGGTATGCTGGGGGTGGGAAAAGGCATATGTTGAGTGCGAGCTTTGCAGTCTGTCCTAGAACAGTTGCCAGTGTGGTAATTTCTCCTCCCTGCCTCCCCGTTTTAGGGTTTTTGCCAAACTATTTACTACCTCCTTATGAGGAAGTGGTGAACCGACCTCCGACTCCTCCCCCACCGTACAGTGCCTTCCAGCTACAGCAGCAGCTGCCTGCACAGTGTGGCCCCCCAGGCGGCAGCCCCCCAGGCGCCGGTCCCACTAGGGGCCCCCAGGGGGCGCAGAGCAGCCCCTTGTCCGGGCCCAGCAGAAGCAGCACGCGACCCCCGAGCATCTCCGACCCTGAGCCCCCCGATGTGCCCGCCAGCCCAGCAGCCACCAAAGCCCCTGGAATGGAGCCCAGTGGCTCTGTGGCCGGCCTGGGGGAGCTGGCCCCTGGGGCCTTCCTGGACAAAGATTCCGACTGTAAGGAGGAGCTGCTGAGAGATTACGGCTCCGAGCAGGGCAGCGCCCTCCCCGATAGCAAAGACAAGACACCTGGCAGACATCGCCGCTTCACAGGTGACTCGGGCATTGAGGTGTGTGTGTGCAACCGGGGCCACCATGACGATGACCTCAAAGAATTCAACACGCTCATTGACGACGCTCTGGATGGGCCCCTGGACTTCTGTGACAGCTGCCATGTGCGGCCCCCCGGTGACGAGGAGGAAGGCCTCTGCCAGCCCTCCGAGGAGCGGGCCCGAGAGTCCGGGCACCCGCCCCTGCCACGGCCCCCCGCGTGCCTGCTGCTGAACACCATCAATGAGCAGGACTCCCCGAACTCGCAGAGCGGCAGCTCCCCCAGCTAGAGCGGGCCCGGCCTGCGCCTCAGAACTTGGCAAAGCAACCAGGGAAGGGGAGCACCATGAGAGAAGCATTAAGTGACTTTCAGAGGAAGCGGTATAGCCGCTTCATTCTTCGCCCCCTCCCCGCCGGCCTGCATTTTCCTGCATCTCCAGGTACAGCTTGGGGAGTGGAGGCCTCTCCGCCCACGGGAGCACAGTGTCGTGGAGGGCCGGCACGGTGGCTCGTTCTGTGACTCATTCCTCATCCCGGCCCTGTCCCCTTCTTTTCTTTTCAAGTCATATCTCGCTGCCTGCTCGGGTCAGAGAGATGTGTGTTTCAAAAGCCCCCAAGGAGGGGGCTGAGACTGTGCCCTGAGGTGACCCTTGGTGGTGGAGTGGATTTGTGCCCTGGTGTTTGTTAGGAGAACTTTGCTGTGTCTCAGTCCGGGAGAGGTGGCAGGTCTCAGCCCTGGGGGAAGAAGGAAGCCTGCAGAGGCCCAGGGATTGTCAGCCCCTGCTGCCAAGGTCTGCAGAGCCAGAACTGGGCTAGTCCTGGGGGAGGATGAGAGCGGACAGGCAGTTATAAGGTTGGTAGGAGGCTTACTGCTCCCTCAGATTCCAGGTGATGAAGTCGATGTACCACTGTGCATCCCTGAGGGGCCCTTCCCAGCAGGTTCTGGCTGGCCACAGCCTGGTTCAGTATGGAACATTATGTCACCTTCTTTTTGGTTTTTCTTTAAACAAAAACAGCAGCAACAGCAAAAGCAAGCTGAACACAAGAACTTGACCAGCGGGCAGGCAAGAATTCTGTTCTGGAAAAGGGAAGTTTGTGCCTCTATCCCAAGTTGACCTTCAAAGAGCCTGGCTGCTGTTGAGCCAGGAGGAGATGTTTTGTGTGCAGGCTTGGGTGGGGGCTAGCTCTGGAACTTCTGTGGGAGTGCAGCAGAGCCTAAGCCGTGGGGGTGCATCTGGTGCGGCTTGCTGCATCTCTGCTCTTTGGGCTGACCCTGTAGGTGACCAGGGTCCTCCCCCACCCAACACACAGTCTGCAGGCCTCCGTGCCTCACTGTTCCCGTAGAAACCAGGGAGGCTGCGGGTCCTAAGAAAAGGGCAGCCCCATAGCCTGGCTTTTACACAGTATTTTCTCTTGATTCTGAATGAGTTCTTCTGTTGTGTTGTTTTTGTTTTTATTTTTAAACTGACCACTTGGAAAAAATGGCTTGGTTATCTGTGGCTTTCATGCCCTTCCCCTGCCTCTCCACAGCCCCCTTTTTGAGTGGGGTGACTCATTTTTGTAGCCTCCGTAAAGAGCCTGAGTGGCCCAGGTAGGAGGGCGAAGGCAGTGGTCCGGAAGGACCGCAGGATCCTTATTACTGTAGTTTGGCTTCAGATAACCAGTTGAGCTTTGACAGGAATAACCTGATGGACAAAGCAAACAGCTAAAACTCACATTCCCTGTCCAGTGCTGTTCATATGAAGAGTTTGGTTCTTCTCCCACTCTTGAACGATGATATTCACATTAGGCATTGACGTTACAGTAAGAAAGGAAAAAAATATATATATATGTACAAAAATAGACAAATCTAAGGCTGTGAGGTGAACGAGTGTCTGCGTTCGGAGTCCACAAAACCAAAATCCATGTTGAACAAAGTGAAGTCTGTGTACAATGACTTTTTGGATAACCTGTGTGTGTCTGTGTGTCGTGTGTGAGCCCCCAGCCCTGTTTTCCTGTGAATATACTTTGAATGGCAGCCATTGTGCTCGTCAACCACACGTTTGGAGCAGATATGGCCCCGCTCAAGGTAATTTATTTTACACATTTACTGTTTACTGAACAAATGTCTGACTGTGTACCCGGGTGTATCCAGCAGCATTGTCGATGGCAGCCCCCCCACCCCCTACTCCCCACCCCCCACGTCTGCCAGAGATAACTGTGCTCGGAGTGGAGGCTCTCCTCTACCCAGCCCTGCAATTTGCACATTGCTCCGTGGACACTCGGAGGCCTGTGTTCTGTTCCCTGTAAGTGGAAACGTGCTCTGAACCTGTCTGCCTCCCTGGGCTCCTCCTGGCCCTCGGTATCAGCCCCCAGGGGGTGTTCAAAACCACTCGGCACAGAAGGCGAAGGTGGAACTTCAGACAGAAGATTGATTGGATCTTCAGTGACATGCTTGGACTAGCTGTGGCCCAGACGTTGGCCCTGCCCAGCATTGGCAGGAGAGTTTGGCAGACACCGCAGTGCCATAGGGCTCACCTCTCTCTGCCGGGGTCCAGTGCATCCAAGGAAGCCTGTGTGTGGCAAGAGCAGGCGGGAGTGTGTCAGCAGCCCTCAGATGCCTTTCCTTCCACCTTTTTGAAAAAAATAAAAGTAAAATAAATAAATCAAATCCCAAACAACTCACTGAAGTCTCAAAGGAGATGAAGTTTTACCAAAATGAATCCTGCTTCAGTTAACTGATCAAATGGATGAATTCTGGCCCTGTCAAGTTTCCTTCCCCGGCTGGAGTGGGGCACGGGTCTGCGCGTCAACTGTTGGGCTCACTGCAGCGTCCTGCCCTACAGGCGTGAGAAGAAGCGAGACAGCCACTAGAGCCAGGCTTGATTCCAGCGGTCACGCAGTCTGGCCCCTGCCAGCCGGGCTCGCCTGCCAGGAGAGAGATGGAAATAGGGAGTTGAAGGACTCGATAGGGGGCCAGGGAGATCCGACTTGCATCTGGTTTTCCAGGTGAACAGAGAAGGAAAGGGTTGGTCTGGCCGAGGGTTTGGTGCTACAGTCGGGAGATTTGCAAATGCTAACACATTCCTGTGTGAGGCACATCACCATTTGTCAGTTATTGTGAATACGTGTATTTTAAGCAATAAGATTCAGCTGGTCAGACTCTTCTGGGCAGCCTCGGTGACGCATTTCCTGTGCTGTGATTGTTCTGAAGACAGAGTGGCTCTATCCACTGTGAGAAGCCCAAATAAAATCGATCCCCAAAACGCGACTCCTTTTTTCTTGCAGCACCTTGTTCTTTTCTCCCCACTCCTCCCTCAGACTAAAGGGGTCGTACCCCCAAGACGGCTAACTGCAAACACTTCTCCCTCCTCCACACAGGCTGCGAGAAGGCACCTACCAGTTGAGGACAGGCCCCTGGCCTGAGCGGAGACCACAGGGCCAAGGGCGAGGTGGGTGATGCTCCTGCTGAGGCCACACGTTGTCCTGAGTTTTCCCCAAACCCTCTCTCTGCCAAGGGTGTATTTCTGATGTTTGGAATGCTTTGTAAAATCCCACACACAGGTTAAAATCGGGCACAAAAAAGCAGAAGCAAGTTCTGTTAGACACCTGGAAGCTAAAATGGCATTTGAAAGAAAGCAAGCACTCCGTGAGATCATTAATTTTTATTTAAAAAAAAAAAAAAAAATTTTTTTTTTTTTATTTGAGAGAGAGTGAGAGAAAGAGCATAAGTCAGGGGGAAGAGGCAGGGAGAGAAATAGACTCCCCTGAGCAGGGAGCCCGATGTGGGACTCGATCCCAGGGTCCTGGGATCATGACCAGAGCCGAGGGCAGATGCTTAACTGACTGAGCCACCCAGGCGCCCTCGTGAGATCTTTTAATGAGATGATAGAGGGGTGCCTGGCTGGCTCAGTCCGCAGAGCATGGGACTTTTGATCTCAGGTTTGTGAGTTCGAGCCCCACGTTGGCTGTAGAGATTACTTAAAAATAATAAAAATTTTTTTTTTTTTTAAGATTTTATTTGAGAGAGTGAGCGGGATAGAGCACAAGCTGGGGGGTGGGGTGCGGTGGAGAGGCAGAGGGAGAAACAGACTACCCGCTGAGCAGGGAGCCTGATGCGGGGTTCAATCCCAGGACCCTGGGACCATGACTTGAGCCACCCAGGCACCCCAAAAATAATCTTTAGGGGGAAAAATTATAGAAATGTGGAAGGCCCTGGAATTTGATACACATGTATTATTGAGTCTCCCACTTTGTGCCCAACACTGTGCTGGGTGCTGAGGAGAATGCTAAAGAAGTAGAGAAGACAAGGCCCTGTCCTCTACAGGCAGAAGACAAAACAACCGTGTGAAATAGTTAACAAGAGGAGGTAGATTGAGATGAAGTGAATGGTACAGATTCAGGGAATCCTGAGGAATCTCGGGGGCTCACTTGAGGGACCTGAGAACTGGGTGTGCTAACCTCTGCCATTGTGGGCCAGTCGTTCTTTCCTAAGGCTCACTGTCCTTTTAGAACTTTGAGTCAGCTGTAAATCCCTGCTTTAAGGGAAGGAACAGCCTTCGACCTCTGCCCAGGAAGGGGAACACCACCACCCAGCCCAGCTTCTCCTTGGGTGGCCTGCAGGTGGGCAAAGCAATATGATGTGCCTTTTGGAACCGTCCCAGCAGGCGTTCCTGCCTCCCCCAGTGGACCGCTCACTGATAGGCCCCCAGGGGATGCTGACAGCATTGCCTTCCCTAGTCCCTGATTTTACCCAGCTGTCCGCACTATTATTATCTAAGAGCCCGAGCCCGGTGTAAGCAAGACGGGCCCCTGCCCCCATCTTTGACCTTGGGCCAGAGCAATTCTGGCCCCTTAGTGACTCTAGTGGGATGGTTGCTGCCTAGTTCCTTCTAAACTGTTGAGCTCCTCCGAGTAAGCCCAGGAGAACCATGTTAGCATCTAGAGACAGATCTGTTCTAAAACCATGGGGAGGGGCGCCTGAGTGGCTCGGCGGTTAAGCATCTGCCTTTGGCTCAGGTCAGGATCCCAGGGTCCTGCTTCTCCCTCTCCCTCTGCTGCTCCTCCTTCTCATTCTCTCTCTCTCTCTGTCAAATAAATAAAATCTTTAAAATAAAACCACAGGGAAGGACTGGGGAGTACGTCATTCCTGCCTTCAGTCATCTAATGTCTGAATGGCACAAACAAACCAGTACAGTTCTTGCCAGCTGCGTGCTGACGGCTGTGCAGTGTTCCCTGGGTGCCCAGGTCTGTGAAGCAGACCTCAGTGCACCCCGCACTGCCCCCCAGCTTCCTGGGTCACTGAGTTCCTCCTTTTGCTCTGGGTGACCAAGTTCAGGTGGAGACAATACCAATGCTCTGAAGCACAAAACAGGGTAGTTTTGATGAAAGAGAATTTCAAGAAACTCCCTATTCTCCAGTTCCTCTGTTTTCAGCCAGGTGGTGGGGGGAAGCAGGGTTTGACTCAGAAGGAGGGGGAAGCGGGTTTGACCGACTGTTGGCCAAACCTGCTGGAAACTTGCATCTGCCTGAACCTCCTGGGAAGGGCAGTGGGTCCTGGGAGGTGTTCGGGATCTGGGTTCCTGGCCTGGGGTATGTGACTGGCCTTACTCAAGTTGAGCATTTATCAAGCACCTACCATGTACTAGGCATTGGGAATGCAAATATACCTTA